AAGCTAGCTATAACTCTGCCTGCTTCTTTCCCATCTGATTAATGTCATTTATGGTCTAGGTGGATTTGTAAGGGGGCAACAGATTGGAGATGCAAGGCAGAGCTGCAGACCTGATGTTTACAAAAACTTGCCTGTGAGATTTTTGTTATCTATACTGTAGATTGCACAGAGATTATTTTATGAATTCGTCTTAGTAGTAATGAGTCTGCAGTTTAAGGGACAGAAATGCATTGCAGATGAAATATCAGGCACAAGATTTAATGCAGACAGTGATGGAGAAGAGACCAGCCCTACAGGGCAGGAGATGGGTTTCAATATTCCTGTGTCCTGATCTAAGGAGCAGCAGCTCAATGTCAGCTGAGTGTGTTGGTTCTAGAACATGTTTCTATTGAAAAGACATGAGAATGGAGAATGAGTTGGCAGGATGTCTTTTTTAACACTTTGTAGGTGCATGGAAAATTAGGTTTGGGACAAATTCACCTCTCTCATCTCTTGGTTTGATGATGCTAACCATCTGTTTGCCATTAACCTAGGCAGTGGAATCTTTTTTTTTTTTTTTTTAAATTAGAATATTTCCATAAACTGCAAGGCTAGAGTTCATTTCTCAATGGACTAAGCTTTCTCATCCTCAGAGGTAATTCACAATCATAATTTACTTTCAGGAACCTGCTTTCTTAGCTCCCTCTGTAAGGACTGGAGCTGGACAGATGTCTCTGGAGGACAGTAGACATCTAGCTTACATTTTGCAATGCAAAGCCTACAGGTGCTTCTCGCTTTTTGTTGGCTGCAGTGGTGGGTGAACAGTCTTACGTGTTTAGATTGGGAATTAGTATGGGTTAGCTAGTGCACTGATTTCATTTTAAAGCTCAGTTGCTGTGAGTTCCCAACAGAGCAGCCCAAAGAGTTTGTGTTGCCTTCTGCTAACCCAGATGCTCTTCTGAGCATCTGCTTTCCCTCTTCCTGAACAGCTAACCCCATGCACCCTAACCCCACCTGTTGAGAGACATAGACTAATGAGTGTCACCCAGCAAACAGCAGACATTTCAATTCCCCTGTAGTCACTAGAAAGAGACTTACAGGATGTGACTCACTGCACCCTTATCTCCAATCTATTAGATGAACTGTGCCCTAAAAGAACTATTTTACCTTCCCTGGCTATGAAGGGGGTCCACACATCCTCCTTGCTGGAGACTTTGATGGTGCAGGTGGCTGAAGCTAAGTGGGATGAAATCTCACAGCTGGCAGGGAGGCTGGGCAGGGGACTTGGACTGCAAAGGTGGAATTGGAAGAGGGAAAGTTAGAAAAGAGGGAGCGTGTTTCACAATGGAGGGAAAGGGAGGAAAACTAGCCCAAACAAAATTCACTGAATAGAAAATGTATGAATCAGAGAATGAGCAACCTTTGTTTTTCTTATTCTGTTGTTTCCGGGTGTTTATAACTTTTGATCTAAGGTAAAGCCACAAAGCTCAAACCCTTTAAAGGCACCCACCACACATAGTAGGGCAGGAGAACACTGTGTCTGGTTTTGAAAATATCATTTGTGAAAGCCTTGTTTTGGTAACATTTGGTTTTTGAATAGGTTTAGCTGTTTTTTTCCTTAAGCCTGTGAGTTCAGTAACATTGGCTCTGAGGTATTTCATCTAAATGAAAGAATACATTACTGAGAAAGAAAATTGTCTTTTTAAGCAGCAGCAGACATTCAGATTCTTTGGCTGTAACTTTCTCAGTCTTTACTTCTGTTGGGTTGGAAGGGTTATTATCCTCTCTGAAAATAATTGAACTGGAGGACAAGCGTATGTCTTGGGTAACGCTGCACAAAAGGTCTGGTGGGAATCTTGATTTCTAATGTAGCTTAAGGTCTCATCTCATTTATGACCTTAGCATGGCACTGGTCATTGAGCATTTTGCTGGAGCTCTCAAGAGGGAGATGGAAATTATTTGTCATTGTTGATGGTTTTTCTGACCTTATAAACATGAAATATTTCGCCAACTGAAGAGGGATGTCTATTCTTTGTTTGGGGGATTGTGTTTTTAAAAAGAGAACAAAAGGAGAACATAAAGAAAAAGCAGAAGATGACAGTGCTTCTACTGCTACAGGTATGAGGAACAGGGAAGCGAGCAAAGAAAGTCACAAAAAGACTTTGGCATGTGAGTTTTGGAGAACTGTTGAAGGAGATGAAGAGAAGGGTTGGTTCAGAAGATGAAAAATGACATAGAAAACATCCAAAAGCTTGGATTTGAAGATGCAGTTAGTGTAACAGGAAAGAGAAAGGATTCCGTTGGACATCAGGGAAGAAAGCAGAGGGTTCAAAATCATGATATGATGAAGAAACAGTGAACAAAGTCAAAGGCAGTGGCTTTCCAAAGGTAGTGGCTAAAGAGTGGATTTTTTACCACAATAAAAGGGAATCATAAAATCATACAGAATCAGAGAATCATCCATGTTGGAAAAGACCCTTAAGATCAAATTAAAAGGGAAGGACATATGGGGACATATATAAGGAGAAGATTTCTCTATCGCAGGACAGAAACAGATACTGCAGGCTCTCTGTCCACAACATTGGCTTTTCCTTAGCACAATCACAATTTTAACAACTTAAAAACTCTTTTATTTCATTAAAGCTCTATGTTGGGCACTTTGCTGCTGAAGACCACCATAGCTGGAAGTTTTATATAGATATTTGCTCTCTATTTGACCTTACAAGAAACAAGTTGTATGTGTTTGACAACTTTAATTTATTCTGCATTGCATTTCAAATCCACGGGAGCGAGCACTAATATGCAAGTATAATGGGAAAGAAATTCCTCTCATTTAAATGACTGAGATCTGGTACCCATCTTGTGTGAATGAAATTCAGTTGAATGAAATTCTTTCTTTTGTGAGTTTTAATCCTTTCCAGGTCTGACTTGCAAATCTATGCAGTGTATTCCTGTAAGATGAATACTAAGATGGAAAGGTCGTAGGAGCGCAGTCCAGCTTTTATTTTGTATTTGACCCTCACCTAACATACTTCAAGCCTCATCCATGCCTACAGCATCTAGGCACTGCTGCCGTCAGGGTAAATGAGATAAATGTGATGCTCTTCAAGAGAAAATCTAATTTTCTCTTTCCCTCTTTAGCACTAAGATGTAGTTTAATTTACTAAATGAATAATCCCTAGTTTCCCCAGATTTATGTAAGAGGACTTTACTCTCTGCAAAGTACTTTGAGACCGATCAGTGAAACTGCTGTGTAAAACAAAGGCTTTTTATTTTCTTTTTACCCTCATGATATTTATTCTTGATGCTCTTTTAGACAGAAACCCTCTTGCAAACAACAACTACAGCAGGATCTATTTACAAAATCGAACTTGCAATACTGGGAAGAGCTGAAAAGAATAAGGCAAAATAACATGAATAGCACTGTATGTACTGGGATTAGAGAGTCCTAGCTGATTTTTGACCAGCTTGACCTAGCCTCTTTCCCTTTACTTTGCTCATATCTGTTCCCAAATCTTCTCGTTCAACCCCATAAGGAATAAAAGCAACAGGTCTAGTAGCCAAAATACTTCAGGCATCTCTACAATAAAAAATAAATAAATCATAAATTGGTATATAGGACAGTTTTTCTACATTATTGTGTTATTTGCAGGGAGACATTTATATTTATATAAAACACTATGTTTAAACACTGGGAGAGGCATTCAAAATAAGTACAAGAAGCTGAGGAAAGAAGAGCTTAGTGGTACAGTGAAGAACGCAATGCTATGCATTTATTCATTCATCAGAGAATTAAATCATATCAAATTGCATAAAATGCAACTACTTAGCACCTCTCGATTTTTTTTTCCAAAAAACAGAAAGATTTCTGATAAATGAGACTTGCCAGCAAGAACTCTCACAATGTGTCCCGGGCAGAGTAATACAGAAAGCGTGATATAGGGGACCTGACTCATCCCAGAACCGATCCCATTTACATATCTCTGGCAGAACATCTCGCAGCGATGCTCTTGCACACAACACTTAAATATTGGCTGTGGGCACTGGCACTTCATTTGGCAATCAAAATAACCCGCAATGGAAAAGGTGTGGAGCTTACAAAGAAAAGCATTTAAACAAAAAAATCACCTGGGGGTTAAATATTTTTTAAGGTATTTCCTGTGTTCATGGCTAGAGCTGGTTGGTGATAAGCATCCCAGCCATCCCTAGAGGTGCCCTGACCATAGTAAAATATGCAGCCCTGGTAGAGATGATCCCTTGGTAGTTAAAATATTGGTGTATCCATGATTCTGCCCTAAGCTGTGTCTGCTCATACCTCTGAACCCAGACATCACCAACAGGTACAGAGGGAAATATCACATTTATCCTGAGAGTTTAAGTTGTATCCCTCTGAACAAAACAGTTTAAATGCAAACACTCTAAAATATCACCCCATTTCTAATGCGCACGCCTGTCACAATAGATAAGCCAAATACAAGCAGTATTACAATATATACATGATAAAACTGCACTGAATGAATTAGCTGCCTCCGTTTATAATTTACAGGCACTACTGGTTGGGAGGTGTGGCTGAGCGGTTATTTGGTATCTCTACTACCTGTAACAAAATAGATGGCACTTTTTAACTAACAGCACGGCTATCAGTTTTACCTGCATAAACACTGACATTTCAGTGTCTATTTTTATATTTCCTAAAGTTATATGCAAAATGGAAAAACAAATTCAAAGAGTTACCTAAGGCGCCCAAGGTGGCTTTGATCTGCCCACTGTTCCAGTGATGGGTTGGAAGATACATGCATTACTCAGACAAAAAATATTCTGTATTGCTCTGGATTGTCTCCGGTTGCTGGTTTGTGGGCACAAAACCCATTTCTCTCATTTCCTTAGACTAAAAAATTCCTTAAGCTCTTAACATCTTTCCTTACCTGAAAGGAGCCAGGATGTTGCGAACATCCTCCAGTAGCCACCACAAAAAAGTAAATCATATTTTCCCTCCCCAAAAAGCAGAAATAGTCATTTACCTGCCCTGTTTCCCTTGACGGATCCAAACAAGAGCCACATCAAAAGGCACTTGAGCTCCATGGGACTTGTTCACATCTTTTCTCCGCAACTCCGAGGATGATGAAGAGTTTCTCAGAAGCGATGGGCTGCTGTTGACTGACCCGACGAGCTGTCTACTGCATGGTTAGACCTATGGGCAGAGCCACCCTGCGTGCGCAGCAAGGACTTTGCTCTCTGGTCAACAAATTGTCGTTCCACTGGCTGTCTCTGCCAGAGACAATAAAGGCTGCCGTCTCTTCTGCTTTTATCCAGGAAATCAAACTTAATGCTCGGCGTCGCAGAGCATGCTGTTGTGTGTAGGAAGTGGTTTGACACATCAGAGCTACTGACTCCAGAGCTGTTCCACTGCAGCTGAGGTCAGTAGAAAAGGGCAAGATTTTAAAGGGTTTGTGCAGACACTTAACCTCAAATCTGTGTCGGGACAGGCATCTGAGAAGGATCATCGCTGTAGGATAGATGTCTGGTGTATGACAGTGGACATCAGGCACCATCTGTGTGCTCTGCCTCTGAAGAAAAAGGTCCCAGGAGATATTGCTCTGGCTTTTTAGAAGACTTTATCTGCTTCTGATAAGCCCCGCTCCATTTGTGTTTTGGTGTATGACCATCTGCAGTTTCTCTGGGGGACAGATGAACTGAAGGATGGGAGGTTTGATCCAAAACAAATCTATTAGGATGGGGCTGGCAGATTTTGAAATGGCTTCTCGTGTTCCTAAATTGGGTTTCAGATTCAATGGAACTGGTTCTTCTGAATGTTAATAGAAAAGCGGAAAAGATGAAGGAAATATTGTGCTTTAACTCTGCATAGTTTCTCTACAGCCATTTCCACAGAAATTATCATCAATTACTACCTTGGCAGCTGGTTGAGATAAACTACAGAAAAAAAAGGATTTAAACTGTCTGTGGTATTTTCCACTGATGTGGACAGAACAACCTGTAAAATGTATTACCTATAATGTACTTAATATACTATCCATGTTAAATATAATTTTGCTATTTTTATGAAAGCTTTTTTGGGGTTTTACTGATGCAGGTGACCCTCTTAGAGGGTCTGGTGGCAATGGGGCTTTGGCTGGGGATTACTGCCCAAAGCCAAATGCAACAAGTTACAGAGAACAAGTGAGACTTCTGGAGCAACTGCTGTGGCTAAGATGCTCTCTTCACCATACTCTGTAAATGTTGGCTGCTTTTATATCAGTACTGAGGGCACTTTTACCAAATCACCTCCCATATTTAATAGGATAAGAGGAAACACTCATGCCAAAGCCCATAGAGGGACTTGGAGAGATTTGCTCTTGAAACATCTGTCCGACGGTCATAGACCCCAATTTTTCACCTATTTGCAAGATGCCCAGAGATGTGCAACTGCATGTGCAGAACCACAGCCATCTGGGTCGTACAGCAGTGAGATTTGTCCTCACAATTTGTCCTTCCCCTACTAAACATGTGGTGTGTTCCCAGGAGTTGCAGGGATTAACTCCCCAATTTCTCCTTCTATTTCTTGCCTGGTTAAATTATTGAATTTCTTGACAATTTGCATGATGGGGGGCCTTGCCTGCAGTTGTTCCCCTCAATCTACACCCCGCAGTTTTGACTGCAGATGCAGGTTCTCCACTAGCTTCATTTTTCCTTTGGCTGGAAAAGGTCTTTTTTGGAAGGTGAGCTGAGAGCTCCTGCATTCAACCATTTACTTTCAAGCAGCAAATCTCAGTGTAGGTGGATAATAGCCGCTAAGTTTTTATTAGAAATGGTGAGTTTTTCTCCTAGCAAGAGCACGCTATGTACACTCAGCTGTACTGGAAGGAACGGTGACCCCAGGTGGCTAATTGCTACAAGCACAGTTTGCATGAGAACAACCCGTAACTCGGCATTTAGACCTTTTAAAGGTCAGAAAAAACGGTTACTGCTTGTGAGAGCAATTAGTTAGGTCAGCTTTGTGAAATGGGTCAGCTTGCTGAGTTGTTCCTGGAAAAACCAGTGCTGCTTCTGCAAGCAAAAGGTATTCAACTGACCCAAAGCAGAGATGGGTACAGAAAGGGGAGGGTGAGAACAGAGAGACTGAGCCAGGGGGAAAGTCATCAGAAAAATAATAATAATAAAAAAAAAACAACAGGGGTTTGTGACAAAAATGAGAAATCAGCTTTATAATTTTGATGATTAGCAACAGAAGTGTGTGGCAATAAAGGAAAGGAAGTGCTGAAAAAGCTCAGAAGTGTTGGAATCCTGGATAATGATGGAGAAAACCAGGAATATCTTGAGCGTCCAGGAAACTGAGGAGGCAAAAGAAGATGCTGGTGTCTCCGCTGCTTGTTGAGCTTTCTCCCAGTGATCACCAGGGGTTTGCTGCCCAAGAAGTGCCCTCCTTCAGCAGAGGGCTTGGAGAAAATAGGAATTTCACATGGCCCAGGTCACATAGGGAAGTGAGGATGGCAAACGAAGACTTTGAAGATCATTTATATATTTAAACAAAGCCATAAGTCCATGCAAGATGCAGAAAAGGAGTTGCCAGAGAGTAAAACACAAACCCAGCACCAGCTTTCCTTAGGTCTATGTTTAATAAGGGTCTTTCAAAATTCCTTAAAGATGCTTTTAAAAATGTGACCACGTGAACTCCTTCGGTCTGATGCTCAGCATGAACAGCTTCAGTCTGATGAACAGCAGAAGTTGTAAGTGCATCAGTGCATCTGATGCAGTTTTATCTGGTGGAAAATAGCAGAATCATTCAGAAACTGGGGAGAAAACAAAAATTCATAGAGGTCTGTATCAAGATCTCCCAAGAGTCATGTTTTCTTTACTTTTCCATCACAAATAAAATAGATTAGTACTAAGTTTTCAGTTGTTCATTGCTTATTTTATAAAGCCCCTGATGTTGCAAATAAGAACAAGTCAGTTTAAAGAAAGAACAGCACTGTGATCTTTTTGCAATCTAGTTTAAATATCTTTGGTAAATATCCACATAACTCACTAGGATAAGCAACCTTTTTGCTTTCTTTCTTTAATTCAACTTTTACGCTGTCAATCACTCTTGCCTAAGCCTTCTCTTGAGGGGAATAACTCTTCATATGGACCTTGCCAGGGTGTGGGGTGTTCTAAAAGCTGCATGCTGTTGATTGCTTATATCTTCCTTGAAATGATGGTGATAGTGGTAGTTAACTCACAGTATTTATTTTTTTACTTGGGAGGAAATGTATTGGGAACTTCACCTTAGGCACAGGGTGCAGTACTACCCTGTACCGAACAGCTGTAGCTTGGATAGGTGGGCTTTGCCCTTAGATAGACCACTCTTGGCTTCCTTTGCAGATTACTTAGAGGACTGTCATTAGTATTTTCAAGAAAAATCATTAAAGATGCTATAATAAAACCTGTTCTTCAGGAGTGGCCTCACAATGATGCCTAGATCAGCTCCAGTTTCTTCTTTTTCTTTTTTTTTTTTTTTTTTTTTTTCAGTCACTCTTTTCTGGCCCAAATCTTTTCCACAATGGAAAAGACATTTGCAATTATAACACTTTTTCCTCTACCACCACCTCAAGGTATAAATATTTTTTTTCCTCGATCTGGAGGATGCTCAGTGCAGACAGAAGCTTTAGGACACAGGAATCTAAAAAAGTCCCTGCTGTCAGCTATTTCAGATTTGCAGAACTTGGTCTGATGTGTGGACGTGTTCACAGGGATGACAAAATTCACTTTTGGCACAAGGGGCCTTCCCATAAATGTCAGAAGCATCCAGTTGTGCTGTAAAACAGAAATATGGGGAAATCCTGGTTATGCCACATGCCAGAAATGATCATCAGATTTTTTTTCCTCAAACCTATTTATTTGCAGTGAACAAATTGTTCTTAACTGCTTTTTATTTCCCAGAACGGTGAGACAGAGCTGACACATGGCATACAAATTTAGCACCTTAAATAGAGCATATCTGACAAGGTCAACAGAGGTTCAAACAGAGATTCTGGTTATAGTCAAGAGAGAGTCGCATTGTCCAGACAGTTGTCAAATTTCCCCCTTGAGTCAATGGAGAGAGTCAACAAGTGCATCTAGAGGGTGATTCACCTCCTCTTCTGGACATCTACATCTAGGCGATGAATCACCCATCCCGATTTCTCTCCCTCTCCCCTATCTGCTGACCGTGGAAGCAGCATAGCCCATTTACACTAAACACGGGTCTCTTAAGTAGCTATAGCTGGATGAGGTGAATCCGTCCTGAAAATCCATTCTGAATTTCAGAAAGCAATTTAAGCTGCTTATTTAGTGACTAAGAACAGCTTTCCCCATCAAACATCCTGGACGCGGTTCATTATACTCTTATTAACTATTTCATTCACTGATGCCATGCCCTGTGATAAATACATGAGATCCATAAAACCGAAGTGGACCTCTAGGGTTCAGTACTCAGTGCTGATCTAAATCCATCAACCAAGTCATTCAATGTCTTTTACCAACTGATTAGGCTTCATTTCAAATGTTGGTACTGAAAAGTTAGTATTCAGTTCAAAAGTGTGTATTGAAAAGTACACGGTGTGTTCCTACCTCTCTCAGCAGGTACCAGGAGGGTACAAAGCAGAGAGGAAGAATCTACATCTTGCCTTCCTTTGCATTTCTCACCGTAGCAGTCTCCATGAATATTTATTACACGATGGCTCACCGCCAACAAATTGAGAATATGGGCTTTTTGTTCACAGCCACGGAGATATAGGAAATCCTCTGTTTTTTCTGAACAAAAAATGCTTCTTCTCATCAAACTTCTCACTATTGGACAAACATCTCTGAGCTGTGTATGTGAAATCAGGCCAGTACGAAAACTCCAGAATGATGCAGTGTCCCTGAAGACCTGTGTGAGAGAAAAACAAAAAACAACCAACCCACCAACCAACCAAACAAACAATAAAAAAAAACAGCTGCCTTCTTAGGCCAGTGTGTGCAAGCTCCTAAACCTAAAAAGTTAATACAATTTCATACATGAAACATGGGAAAAACCTAGCTGGATCAGGCCAGCAGTGCCTCTAGCCAAGCTTCATTCCACCAGCACTGGCAGCAGGGGATCCTGGTCCAGGAGGGCACTGGAAACAGACTACTTTCCATCCCTTCATGTCTACCAGCACCCATGGTTGATGCATTAGCTAAAGGCTACATCTCTGT